GAGGAGGAGTGCCAACAACAGTGGCAGCAGCAGCCCTGGCACCAACAGCAACATCAACAACAATACACATCAACCAGAGCGCCGCAGCAGCACCAGGAGCAATCTAGCCACGAGCACACCAACACCACCGGGAGCAGCAGCAATGGCAGCATGTGGTAGCAGCTGTAGCAGCAATGGCAGCAGCAGCAACGGCTGCAGGACCATCAGCAGCTGTAGCAGCGACAACAACAACAGCAGCTGCAGCAAGAAGTGTCCAATACTCCAGCGGCATCATTAGAGCTCGCAATAAGCATAGCAGCAGCACCGCCGCCACGCACCAACGGGGAGACTGCGGGCTCAATGTCCGCCACGAGGCTGCTGCACACGACGCGGCTGACGTGAATGCTCAGCTGGATGATAAGTCAGTGAGTAGAAGTCGATGACGATGGCGCAGAAGTCGAGGAGGAGGACGAGGATACCGATGAGGAGTACATTCAGCATATCGATCACAAGCATGACCTAGATCCGGCTAAGCGGCTAAGCCTAAACCTCAAGCAGTGCCAATGCCTCATATGTTCCCTGCACACTGCACAACGCCTCCAATCGATACTGCAACTACCAAGGACATCATGTCCGAAGAGACCGTGGGGGTCGAAGAGATGGGAAGGCAGGGACGATTCTGTTGTGACGCCGGAATCTCTAGACTCTAGACCAGCATCCTACTCCTTCAACCCCTAAATAGCATCCTGAATCTCCAATTCCTAGGTTGAGCAACATCCCGAAGCTGCCCTGCACCCGAACTCCTAAACCAGAAACCCCAAACCAACCCGTGAACCCTGAAGCCAATCCCTAAAGCCTGAAGGCAAGATCCCTACCATAAACCTGAAGCTCCAACTCCCTCAAATCCTTTCAGCTACACCCTGGACCCCCAAAGCGCTGCACGCCTAAACTCCCAGAACTTACCCTAAGCTCCGAAACACCTTACGGCCGAAAGCCCTAAACCCTAAATCCCAGAACCCTAAACCCCTAAACCCTAAATCCCTGAATCCCTCAACCCTAAACCCCTCTACCCGAACGCCTGCCCAATGCCGGAAACGCCGTTTCGCACTCGTCGTGAGCATGGAGTGGCAAGTCGTCGTCGTGGTCACCGTCAGGTCCGAGGGGTTAGTGCTTCTGTTGGCTCGAGTGCAACCATGCCGGTGAGTTCGGGTGCCCTACCTTCTCATGGTGAAAGAGATCGTAGCCGCAGTCGTGATGCTGATGGCATGGCAAGTGCTGGACGTGATGGAAGAGAGCTGGCTGATGAGAGAGATGTGTAGTGCACGCTCAAACTGAGCGAGCTTCTTGACTACCTGCGAGAAAAGGTGCTAGTGCATTTAAAAAAAAAATAAAAATCCTAAACCCTAAACCGAAG